TTCAGGTCTAATGTGTAGACTTTTAAAGTTCAGGTGCGTGTTCTTCTGCCAGAGGACCCGGTATGTGATGCTCAGAATGAGTATCCATGGTAACAGTTCCAGATATCAGGAGTCAGAACCCAAAGGATTCTCACGCTCCAACTGGGACCTTCCCCAAATTCAACAGGAAGTGCGGAGGGGGGGGGGCGGGTCCAAAAATAGGCCGTAAAAGGAGACTACTGCTGTTGTTTATGTGTGCGGGGACCGGGTCACCCAGGGACCCTTAACCGTTCTGGCTCCTTGGTCCTGAGTGGGAAACAAAACATGCTGGAACAGGAAGTGGGAAATTTATGGGGCGTTCAAATGAATTCATCTTTCTTTCACATAGATTAAAGAGCTAAAGTGTGACTCTTTACGGGGCTGAAAGTGTCCCAGCTGTTTCTTCTGCTCCTTTCCTGCAGGAGTTCTGTTATTAATGACTAACTGGTTAACCCTTAGTGAACCAGTGCATTGGGTCAGAGGACAAGCGGCGCGTTATCAGGGCGCTCTCACAGTAAAACATCCCAACGCTTCGGTTTTGTTGTCGTGCCTGAAAACATCTGGAGGAGCTCCCAGAACCAGGAGGTCAGGAGGAGGATGTTGTGGTTGGAGTGTTCAAGGACTCTCAGAGCAGGTGTTTAAAAGGCCCACAAACACCTGAACAGGTCAAACAGGAAAACTGTTTTAATCGTCGTCTTCACTGATGAAGAGCCTCCAGCGGCCAAAAGGCTTAACCCTAACCCAAAGCTCTGAGCACAACGTTAAATACAACAAAAATCCCACGAGTCAGAGCGCCGAGTCCAGAATCACATCTAAACGAGTCCTCTAGCAGGTGGGGGTGGGGCTCGGCCACACCTGAGCTCAGGACCTGGACAGACAGTCCAGAAGTCTTCTCACAAAAACAACACCCCACTCTGATATCTCCTTCTTTGGTCTTTCTCACAACAAGCAGATATAGCAGTCACAACAGCTCTCTCTCTCTCTCTCTCTCTCTCTCTCTCTCTCTCTCTCACACACACACACACACATCAGATCAGACTGTGAGTCAGCTCTGTGGAGGCCTTGTGCTGGCTATGATGACATTAGGTGATCCACAAATATGCTGTAATTTAGCTCACAAGCAAAGAAAGCCACAGACATGATAATATCTCATGGAGCTGAGATGTTCCAGATGTTTCTTAAGTCTGCTGTGGAGCGTCCAGTCCGATCTGCACCCATCTGCTGGGCTGTAGCAGCAGAACCAGAGGCTGTGAAAAGCTGGAGATGCTGATAAAGAAGGCTAGATCTGATCTGGGGTCAGACCTGGAGCCTAGAGCTGAACATGATGGACAACATGATCATCCTCTTCAGTACCTTCAGCCAGATGTCTCTTCAGATCTTCCTGGCCATATGTAGAGGCAGCTACTCTGCTCGAACAAGCTCAGACCAGTTAGTACCTGCTGTACGCTTCTACAGCCACAAGCAATGCCTCTTTTTTCATGAGGACCCCCTTACCTGAGTCCACGAAAGCCAGTGTCCCCAACTCTTACCCACATGCACAAAAGTAAAAGTCCACCCATCCATTTTCAGCCGCGCATCCGGAATCGAGTCGCAGGCCCAGACTTCCCTCGCCCCAGCCACTCGGGCCAGCTCCTCCGGGGAAATCCCAAGGAGTTCCCTGGCTAGCTGAGAAACACAGTCCCTCCAGCGTGTCCCGAGTCTTCCCTTGGGTCTCCTCCTGGTTAGACATACTCCCGTAAAACCTCACCAGGGAGGCGTCCAAGAGGCATCCTGAGATGCCCGAGCCACCTCAACTGGCTCCTCTCGATGAGGAGCAGCAGTTCTACTCTGAGCCCCTCCTGGATGACCCGAGCTTCTCACCTTATCTCTAAGGGAGAGCCCAGACACCCTGTGGAGGAAACTCATTTTGGCCGCTTGTATCCGCGATCTCGTTCTTTCGGTCACTACCCAAAGCTCGTGACCATAGGTGAAGGTAGGAACGTAGATCGACCGGTGAAGAGAGCTTCACCTTCCGGCTCAGCTCTCTTCACCAGAACAGACCGGTACTAGCCTGCATCACTGCGGATCTGCCTATCGATCTCACGCTCCATCTTCCCCTCACTCGTGAACAAGACCCTGAGATAGTTAAACTCCTCCACTTGAGGCAGGACCTCATCCCCGACCCGGAGAAGGCATTCTACCCTTTTCTGATTCAGGCCCTGTCCACACGTAGCCGGGGATCTGCCAAAACATAGATATTTTTCTACTTTTTGGCCTGTCATCCACACGAAAACGGAGTTTTTTCACACGAAAACGGATCTTTTTAAAAACTCCGGCCAAAGTGAAGATCTGCGTTTTCTCCGTTTTGGGTGTCTGCGTGTGGACGGACAAAACCGGAGTTTTAAGGTCCGCAATGTCACTTTCCGCGACAAAAAATGCTGACATCACGTGTGCGACCTGTGTTTACACAAGCCGACATCATGGATGCCCTCAGAGCTGCGCTCGCTTTATCAACTGTCCAAGCGCTTTCTGCTTGTTTGTTTTTGCAAGCAGAATTACTGCTCCTTGCGGAAGACCACAGACGAAGGACGAGGTTAAGAACGGGGGAAGTACTGCCGCCTACAGGTCTGGCATGTCCTTAACAACGTATTTATCCGGGTACGTGTGGACAGAGTTTGTTTTTTTTAAATGAGGTGGTGTGGATGCAAGTTTTTGGAGGGGCGGATATTCGTTTAAAAAAATGGCTACGTGTGGACTAGGCCTCAGACAATTAGAAGGTTGGGAACCACAGCTTAGATGTGAGACTAGAGGACCTGGGGCAGACCTGGGGGGGTTGCTGGTTGGCTGACTGGTTTTTACTGACTGTCGAGTCACCAGTCTCCTGAGGAGACATCTCAAATGGAGCGATGCACAGAGGAGTTACGGAGGGTTAGTGGCTGTGTGTCTAGGTGGTGAGGGTCCGACTCTCCAGAACAGAACCAAGCAGAACCACCACCAGCAGACAGAAAAGAACCAAAACAGGCAGATCTATAAAATTACGTTCTTTATTTACAAATAGATATTCAGCAGTGATTTCAGATGCTCTACAAAAGATTGTCAAATCTGTTCAGCAGTCTCTAATTAAAGTTACACAAGTAGAACACAAGCCTAAAACACACACACACACACACACACACACACCTGTACACACTGTCACCAAAATAGATCTCATTAAAAAATATAGTGCTTGATATAAACATCAGAGGAACCACGTCTGTCCTGAAGGTGAACGTGTGAAAGTCTCATGTGTGTTAAAATACTGATGCCCAAAAATAGACTCTGCTGTTTGCGTAGACATCGGTTTCTGCGTGTCACTGACTCGTTAGCAGCTTCTGCATCTTCAGCAGCTAATGCGCAGACTGTCGGCTGATGATTTTAGAAAGTGGCTTATAAAGTATCTCTGCGGTCAGGTGAAGCTCAGGATGCAAAACGCCAAACGCCGCTACTGTGAAGCTGCCGCCGGCGTAGAACCAGGGCAAAGAAGATGCTGGAGGTGGAGAAACGAAGACAGCAGCAGGACTGAATGGACAAACGCGCACGGGGGGTGGGGGAAGTGGGGGGGGGGGGGGTGTTAGCGACCACGATGGCACCAGAACTAAACACACAAACATCTCCTCTTCCAGATGGCTGGAGGTTCCGATCAGGATCATCAAAACCAAACCGGAAGAAGCACAAACTACAGTCAGCAAACAGAACTTCTTAGAATCAAGCTTTCATCAAACAACCTTCAGAACATGAACTAAATCACTCTAACGTGTGTGCGTGTGGGGGGGGGGGGGGGGTGCTTTACTCTACCCACTGGGTCTAGTCCATCACAGGGATGAGGAGAAACGCTTTCAGGGAGAGATGCTGGTTCTGCTGACGGCCCAGAGCCCTGGCTTAACAACTTTATGTCCATGACTGAACCACAAGGTCAAAGGTCAACCAGCCTCCACAAGTTGACTCAGGTGAAGACCGGAACCGATAAACCCGGAGCCAACCAGTTACCGGATGGTTCAACCATCAGCCTGGGACAGAACCAGGCCGTCCCAAAGAGGCGGGAGGAGCTCCATGTGATGTGTGGAGAGGTCCTCAGCACCCCCTGCTGGCAGCTTCTGGTAGCGCACGGTCCACCCAATCAGACAGAGGGACGTCGAACAGTCCAGCCAGAGTTTATCAGACACTACAGGTTCCTCTTGCTGCAGCCATGTCAGTCTCAGGATCAGACCTGATCCTGGGCCTGTGCAGGAGTCCTCATGAACACGCACCAACCAGGAAGAGGGTCAAAGTTCATCTGGGGGTGTGCTTACATCGACAGATGACTTGTTGAGAAAATCCTTCCTGCTAATTTTTCTTAAGCTATTCAAGTCCATTTAACCCCAGAGCGCACTTCAGGACCTGGTCCAGCTCTCGGGACCGTAGAGGAGTTTAGACGAGCGGAACACCAGACAGGTGACGCGGTGTCAAACCTAAACTGGAAAAATAAAAGTCAAGATTTTTCTCAAAACGATCACATTTCCACACGAACGACGAGCCTCTGAGTTGGTGCGTGTCAGGACTCGTGGATGAACTCCACCAGACCATCTTGCTTGGTCGTCATGCTGCTAAACGCTGGAACTCTGATGAGAATCTCACACAGAACCCGAGTTCTTTACACGAGGAACGGTTCTGGTCTGGAACCAAGTACTGATGTGCACCTAGAAGGACAGTCTAGCAACAGCTCATCATCTTCTGTTCCTGTGGGCTGGAACAGCAGAAAGGTCTCAGCAGGGAGAAGACTAGCAGAGCTGGGTCCAGTAGAGAAGGAAGTTCTGGTTCCATTGAAACTTCCTGGGCACTAGGGACCAAACCCCTAACCCACTTCTACACAGCAGAACACCAGTGATGTCACACTGACCAGATAAACCCGGCTTTAGCAGCCCAGCTCTGAAGCTTCAGCTTCATCAGAGGATCTGAAACTCAACAGGTCAGATCTACTCTGGAGCTCCAGCTGGAGGACTTCCTTCCATCAGGTGTGTCCTGATCAGCAGGAGCTTCACTGATAAGTGTCCAGCAGCATCTGGAAGGACCCGTTTAGGGTGAATGCCCTCTGCAGATCCTGGTTCTGACACGCCGTTACCAAACTTCTACAGACGGCTGCGTCTTCTGTTGGGCTGATGGGCGTCACGCCGTTAGGGCTTGTTGGACCTAAACAACGGTTCCACTAAAATAAACTAAAGACAGACGTGGTCACTGAAAAACTGGGTTCAGTCCACGGAAGTTCTGATGAAATCAAACTGGCTGCAGGACACCACTGGACCGGCCCACCAACGGCTCCACCAGCACCAGGACCTCTCACCACATCTCTGGAGTTAGGCTCATCCTTGGATCAGCAGGAATCTCATTCAGGTGTGACCTTCTAACATAAATCCCCCCCCCACACACACACACACACACACAACCCGACAGAACCAACCCCGGAGGTGTGAGGTGATGGGATCAAGAGAGGCAGAGGGAACTTGGGGAGGAGGTGAGGGTGCAGACGGGAGTGGGCATTCCATAGTAGGAGGGGTCTGTGAAAAGGAAGAGGAGCAGGAAGAAGAGGAAGACCCCCAAAAGGTAGGACGACAGAACGGTGAGGCGCTGCGGGTGTTCCAGAGCGGCGCTGATGGCTGGGAAACCCATGTAGTTACAGAAGGAGTGACACAGAACCGGACCTATCAGGTGACCTGGAACACACAGGAGGAATGACATCACTGCAGAACATCTGGGTAGATCTAAATAAGGTCCTTCCTGAGTGTGCACAATCTGAACTCACAGCTCAGGACGGGTTCCTGCTCACAGGATCTAGTCTAATAGCTCCACCCTCACTAAAGGGCAGCCATGTTGACCTGCAGAAACACTGGAGGTAAACCTGGTCCTAGAGAGCTCCGCGAACAGCCTCTGTTCAGAGAAACAGTGATTCATAGACCACTACAGGCTGCTGCTGGCACGGTGCTGCACTGAAAGCCGCCTGATCCCAGTTCCTGAGACATGTCCAGTAATTAGGGTTGGACATCGTTGGAATGATTCTGGCTCTGACTCAAATTCCTCGTTTCAACTCCAGATTCTGATTTGTGTGTTAAATGAGCCGGCTAACCACAGCTCTTACTGGTAAAATCATCTGAACTTCTACATGAATTTTTATTCTTTCAACAAGAACACCACCTTCATTTGGACAAAAACATGTTTTCGAGACGTGCAGCACAGTCAGCGTGTTTGTTTCTGACCACAACTCACTGATCACGATTTACAGATTCATACGATTCAGGGAAAACTGACAGTTAGTTCCGATTCCAATCAATGCTCGATGCCCAAAGCCACCGATAACTAAATCACACCCTGCTTCAACCGTGTTTATAAGGGAGAAGACGATGCTGACCTGTTCTGATGAAGATGAAGGCGGTGTAGGCTCCAAAAACAGCTGTGTAGGAGAACTGGAACACTGCAACGAGTTCAAAGAACACACACCGTCACTCTGCTGCTCCTGCTGAGGAACACCAAACACCTCAGTGGAAGGCTGAAGTGGACAGAAGTGAGGCTACTATGGAATAAATAAATAAATGACAATAAAATAGCGACTGGGCCGTCCCACTGGAAGTGTAAGCATCACGTCTGTAAAGCCTAGCACGCAGCAGTTAGCCGCCGGTAAAGTGGATGGGTGCGTTTCTAACCCGAACCCCAAAATTCCACTACCTCCGCTTCCGCTCGCTTCCGAACTCAATTTTTACTGGTACCCGCTCTACAACGGCTCCGCTCCGGTGCGGAGACCTGAGGCGCGCAAACAGGCATGCGCGGGATTTTCGAGATCTTGCGATACAGTCCGAGCAATAAACGCGGAAGTTAGATCCAAACACCCGTTGTGTGGGAGAAGCATCGAAATGAACTGTTTAATCTGCCCATCATTTGTGTTGAGAGATCAGCAGTGTTTGGATCAACAAAGGGTGACTACTTTGATAGTAGAAACTGTATTTATGGCTTATTTTTGTGCATTTAAAGTTCAACCGCCATTGATAGTTGTTAAAAGTTGTTAAACCTGTGCATATGAAACAAAAACTCTTTTTGTTTATCGATTTATTGTGAAATAACGGAAGATGTGCTTGCTCATATTCCTGTTGGGTGGTTGTGATTCCTGTCCATTGACTGCGGAGGTGCTCCGGCGTCCGACAAAAATAGAATCGATCCTATTTTTGCCGGATGGCGGAACGGCGGGCGGCGCACGGCCGCAGTAGTGGAACAGCTCTGATTGACTACAACGGGACCGGTTTTGCTGCGGAGTTCGTGCCGGAGCGGAGCGGAGATGGTGGAGTTTTGGGGCAACCCTAACCGGCCAGCAAATGGAAAGTGTCTTCTTACGCCGGGGACACACCAGCCTCCGAAGCGCCGGGAGGCGAAGCGCTCACGAAATTCGGCCGCTACTCGCTGCTCCTCAGTTCAGACAAGACGCTTGTTTCTCCGCTCCAGTCGAGGCGCGCCTCGTAGTTTTTCTTTTAACCACTTGGTGTCCTCCATTTCCTCTCCGCCTTTTCTCTGCTCTTTCCCTCTACACCCCCCTCCCCCTTGCTGTTTGTGTGTGTCCACGCTTGTGTGTGTGTGTGTGTGTGTGTGTGTGTGTGTGGTTTTTATGCAGTGTCTGTTTACGAACACATTTGACTATCGCGGAATTGTATTTTGAAAAGCTTTATTTTGTTAAATTTACCGGCCTGCCTCTTATGTCTAGGTTTGACTTCCTGCCAGAATTGACGCGGTTCACCCGCGGCTCGCAAAAAAAATAGAGCAGACGCTGAAACGATCGCTGCACGGCGCACGGCACTTCGCGGCGCTTCGGCGGCCCATGTGGTCTATAGAATAGGATAACAAGGGCGCCGAATGAAGGCGGTCCCCGTTTCACGGCGCTTCGGCGGCCAGTGTGTCCCTGGCCTTAGGATTCTACAACCCCCCAAGGCGCTTCACAACACAATTGGTTATTCACTCATTCACACACACGCTGGTGGGGATGAGCTACCATGTAGCCACAGCAGCCCTGGGGCGCACTAACAGAGGAGCGACTGCTGCCCACCACCAGCAGGTAGGGCGAGTCTAGTGTCTTACTCAAGGACTCAACAGCAGCATTCTCTGACGGGAGCCGGGATCAAACCTGCAACCTCCTGACTGCTGGACAACGCGCTGTGCCTGCTGAGCTGCTGCTGCTGCTCCTAAGGAGTTGCTGCGTTTCCATTAAGCTCAGCAGTTCACATCAGGCAAACAGGAAGTCAAACACAAATGTGATGTAACACTTCCTGAAACTTTCAAAATAAAAGTCACCTGCAGATTTCCAATTACTAACCAAGTAAAAGAAAACATCATCATTACCTGTGAAACCTTCATGGTCGTGGTAAACAGAACGGAAAATAAATCAGACCTTTTTAGATACTTGCTGCCGTTTTTCTCCTGGCTTATAATCGCACGAACTGCTGAAATCACGCACGGTCCTGCAGCTCTCTGTTGCTTTTGTGACCAGCTGCATGGAACACTCTAGTGCGTATCGCTCCTGGTGGGAAAGGAGCTTGCGGGTCAAACGTGTCAATCACGTTACGGCCGCTAACATCCGGCGGGAAGCCGGGGTGAGTTATAGTTTCATTTGTTTCATCAGTTGGTTTTAATCTTTTCTGGCACCACTTCACATCAAGGCTTAGAAAGGCTAAGACTGTTTTGAAGCGTTACAGATGACTTCATCTAAGTGGTACTGACTTGTTGTTTTTCAAATGTTTTTCTCTTCCCAAAGTTTATTTACCACCATGTTTGTTTTTCTCTCAGTCTGTAATTATCTGAATCTCCTTTTGCAGCATTTGGTGGTCCATTCGTTTAGTGAGACGTGTATTTTGTATTCATCCTTGATCATGGCAGTTTCACTCATATGTACACTGTATGAGAGGGTGAAGCATCAGTCTGATGAACCACCTGGGTAGGACGGCTCTCTAGCTGCTCACGTCTGATTGCATGGACCAGGATAAAGCTTCGTGTTTGTTCATCTGCTTTTGTATATATTTACAGTTATGTTATCTCCAGTTCACAAGGGGCCTAAGAGCCAAAAGGAACTCACAAGTGGAAAAACTAGGTTCGTTTTGAGAAGAGTCTTTGTGAAGTTCATTGTTGTATAGATGAATCACCCAGAAGCTACAAGCACAGAAAAGAAAGCAAACTTTCCCCTCCCCTTCTGAACCAGAACACACAACTAACATAGAGCAGCTGTTTCAGGAACAGACCCTGAAGGCTTTGCTTTAAAGTGGAAGTGGTCTGACCTGCTGAGATGAAGATCCCCGACATCGTCCCCTGCCTGAACCTCAGCAGCTCTATGACGTGGTGGAAGTGAGCTGGAAGAGAAAACTTACTGAAACATAAAGGATTTAGTAGGAGACATGGACGATGTGTCTGCTGCTGTGAAACCAATCTCCTGCTCCAGGATGAAAATCACATTGCTCCTCTAGGAGTTTCTATTGGCCAGACTCTGTTCTGTAGGCCCAGATCCAGACAGAGCAGGCCAGGAGGAGGTGACGAGCAGCCACATCACATCATCCACGTTTATGTCCATAAACCCAGCCAGCTGCATGTGACCTCACAGAAACAGCTAAAAAAACAAGTTGCTGCAAATCTGTGTAAGACAATCAAACAGGACCACACTCTTGTCACAGCCCTGACCCTAACACACAGCCAGCATGAAGATGGGTGCGGAGGTCAAGTACAGAATACCGTTGTCTTCGTCGTCTTCGTCGTTGTCATCTTCCTCCGCTTATCCGGGTCCGGGTCAAGGGGGCAGCATCCCAACTAGGGAGCTCCAGACAGTCCTCTCCCCGGCCACCTCCACCAGTTCCTCCGGCAGGACCCCAAGGCGTTCCCGGACCAGATTGGAGATGTAACCTCTCCAACGTGTCCTGGGTCGACCCGGGGGCCTCCTGCCGGCAGGACATGCCCCAAACACCTCCCCAGGGAGGCGTCCAGGAGGCATCCTGACCAGATGCCCAAACCACCTCAACTGACTCCTTTCGATCTGGAGGAGCAGCGGTTCTACTCCGAGTCCCTCCCGAATGTCCGAGCTCTTCACCCTATCTCTAAGGCTACGGAGGTAACTCATTTCGGCCGCTTGTATCTGCGATCTTGTTCTTTCGGTCATTACCCAAAGCTCATGACCATAGGTGAGGATTGGGACGTAGATCAACCGGTAAATCGAGAGCCTGGCTTTCTGGCTCAGCTCCCTCTTCACCACGACAGATCGGCTCAGCGTCCGCATCACTGCAGACGCCGAACCAATCCGCCTGTCAATCTACCGATCCCTCCTACCCTCACTCGTGAACAAGACCCCGAGATACTTAAACTCCTCCACTTGAGGTAGGACCTCTCCCGTATGGAATACCAAGTTAGAAAATTAGCTTAAAGAGCAAATTGCAGGTACTTTTTTTCTAATTCATATAAAATGCTGTCCAAGAAATACTGTTAGAAATGTTAATTGTGGATATTTGGTTGCAAAATCCATAACAGCAAAAAGTGGCCTTTCTCTTGTTTCTAAATCTGAACCTCTGATGTAACCAAAGGGAGTTAGAAGCTAGGCACTGCCTCAGCTCAGTGTGGAGAGTGGCTAGTTTTAGGGTAGAGAGGTCATGTTATCCAGTCAGTGTGTGTGTTTACTAGTGTTGGATTGTGTTCATGTAGATAAACTATAGTTTGTGAAGGCTGTACCAACTCCAGCCTGTCTGGACATCGAGTCCACGGGTTTCCAAACAGAGAAACAACGCCTCTATCTCCGTGCCTGAGGGCGTTTTTGTGCAGCTGAAAAGACGATCTTCTGTAGCCCACATCTTGTCGGTACCGGGTCAGGGAGGTCCACGCTGGGCTCCGGAGACCCATGGAGGGGTTTAAAAAATTAAATGTGGATTTCTGGAGCTCAGATCACCGTCAGAACCGACCACCAGAAGAGACGCACGGCTCAGCGGGCCAGTGGAGCTGGTTTCTGGGTCGGAACCGCCGCGGACCTCCAGGAGACGATGCAAGGCTTTTAAAAATCCCAGCTGCACTGGCTCGCTGGTGTCCGGGTCGGATCCAGCTCACAGAAGCTCGCATGAGCTCCAGAACCGGATGACAGGCGTCTCTCCAAGCTAAACTAGGTTAGGTGAACGGATATTAACGAGTATGAGACCGCTGACAGACGCTCATTAGTATTAATATTATATTAACTGAGCGATACAACTTTAACTGTCTAGTACATGATAGTAATCTGTACAATATTGTGATGCTAGCATACGAGTTTAAGCTAACAAGGTTAACTCAAGCTGCCCCCCCCCCCTCCCGCTGCTTCTCCTCACATGGCAGCACAATCTCTCTGCTTTGGCCGATGGTTTCTCCCTCTGGTTTGTCTCTGCTCTCTGGGGCGTGCAGCAAACTCATAACTTTATGGTTCTGGACCATCAGAAGTAGAATTATAAACATTTAAAGTTTCCTCTGTGTCAGAGCCGCATTAGAGTCCAGATTTTTCTCTGGATTAAGCTAACAGGACTCCCTCAGCTGACGTCACTCGGTTTGGCCAAAAAATACTTTCTCACAAGAATGACTCTAAAAGCCCAAATAATTTATGTGTGTGTAAATAATGTTTAAAACGAGTTTCTGTTATGTTTCTCTGAACATGGGTTCCTGGCAGTCTCTAACCTGCAGTTTGCTCTTTAAAGCCCCCTCTGGTGTAAACACCCTAGCTCAAAATGACAGTAAAGGCAAGGCAGCTTTTTTATATAGAACATTTCATACACAGAGGCAATTCAAATGCTTTCCATTAGTAAGAATATCGAGAACATTAAAATCAACATGACAGAAAATACTATTTAAAAAATAAAAAGAAACTAAGTTTAACTTAAAGGGTGAGCAAATACAGAGCAGAAGATGCAGCATGAGAACATTAATTCAAAGATTAATGAAAACATAAAAGTTTTCAATTTTCATTTCAAAGTTTCTAGAGTCCCCTCCCCGGGCTGACACCTTACCGTGGTGGAGGGGTTTAGTGTCCCAATGATCCTAGGAGCTAAGTTGTCTGAGGCTTTATGCCTCTGGTAGGGTCACCCATGGTAAACATGTCCTAGGTGAGGGATCAAAGAGCAGCCCATAGACCCCTTATGAAGAAAAAAATACAGACGCGGGTCACCGGGGCCCCCTCGTGAGCCAGGCCTGGAGGTGGGGCACGTTGGAGAGCACCTGGTGGCCGAGCTTTCACCCGTGGAGCCTGGCTGGGCACAGCCTGAAGGAAAAACGTGGGTCTCCCTTCCCATGGGCTCACCACTCATGGGAGGGGCCAAAAGGATCTGGTGCAGTGTGTGACGGGTGGCAGTCGAGGGCGGGGACCTTGGCGGTCTGATCCTCGGTTACAGAAGCTGGCTCTTGGCACGTGGAATGCCACTTCTCTGGTGGGGAAGAGCCTGAGTTGGTGTGTGAAGTTGAGAGGTTCTGACTAGATCTAGTCAGACTCACCTCAACGCATGGCTCTGGCTCCGGAACCATTTTAATTGAGAGAGGTTGGACTTTCTACCACTCTGGAGTTGTTCCCACTGAAAAGCACCGAACAGGGGTGGGCATACTAGTTGCCCCCCATCTTGGTGCCTGTATGTTGGGGTTTACCCCGGTGAATGAGAGGGTAGCCTCCTTCCGCCTACGTGTGGGGGGACGGGTTCTGACTGTTGTCTGTGCTAATGCACCAAGCTACAGTTCAAACTACCCACCCTTTTTGGAGACCTTGGAGGGGGTGCTGAAAAGTGCACCTTTCGGTGACTCCCTCGTTCTGCTGGGGGACTTTAACGCTCACGTGGGCAATGACAGTGAGACCTGGATAGGTGCGGTTGGGAGGAACGGCCCCCTTGATCTGAATCTGAGCAGTGTTTTGTTATTGGACTTCTGTGCTCGCCATGGATTGTCCACAATCCATCTGTCCACAAAATTGTCCTGTCAGAAGAAGCTTCAATTCCAACCTCCGAAAGAACTTCCCAAACGTTCTGGGGGAGGCGGGGGGCATTGAGTCTGAATGGGCCCTGTCCCGTGCCTTGATTGTTGAGGTGGACGACCAGATCTGTGGCCGCAGGGTCATCGGTGCCTGTCGTGGCGGCAACCCCTGAACCCGCTGGTGGACACCGGCAGTTAGGAATGCTGTCAAGCTGAAGAAAGAGTCGTATCAGGTCCTTTTGGCCTGTGGGACTCCAGAAGTCGGGAGGAGTTCGGTGAGACCATGAAGCAAGACTTCAGTACAGTATCGAGGAGATTCTGGTCCACCATCTGGTGCCTCAGAAGGGGACAGCAGTGTGCTACCAACACTATAGTGGGGACGGTGTGCTGCTGACCTCTACCTGGGACATTGTGGATCGGTGGGCAGAATACTTCAAAGACCTTCTCAATCCCACCGACACGTCTTCCAGTGAGGAAACAGTCTGGGGACTTTGGGTTGGGCTCTCAAATCTCTGGTGCTGAGGTCACTGAGGGTGGTTAAAAAGCTCCTCTGTGGCAAGGCTTCATGGGTGGATGAGATCCGCCAGGAGTTCCTTAAGGCTCTGGATGTTGTGGGACTGTGTTGGCTAACGCGGCTCTGCAATATCGCGTGGACATCGGGGGCAGTCCCACTGGACTGGCGGACCAGGGTGGTGGTTCCCTTATTTAAAAAGGGGGACTGCAGGGTCTGATCCAACTACAGGGGGATCACACTCCTGAGCCTCCCTGGTAAGGTCTATTCAGGGGTTCTGGAGAGGATGGTTCGTCGGATTGTCGAACCTCTGATTCAGGTGGAGCAATGTGGTTTTCGTCCTGGCCGTGGAACTCTGGACCTGCTCTATACCTTTAGGGGGCCTGGAGGGTGCGTGGGAGTTCGCCCAACCAATCTACATGTGTTTTGTGGATTTGGAGAAGGCGTTTGACCGCGTCCCTCAGGGGGCCCTGTGGGAGGTACTTCAGGAGTATGGGGTACCAGGCCCTCTGATACGGGCTGTTAGGTCCCTGTAGGAACAGTGTCAGAGCTTGGTCCACATTGCCGGCAGTAATTCGGGCCCGTTCCCAGTGAGAGTTGGACTCCGCCAAGGCTGCCCTTTGTCACAGACTCTGTTTATAACTTTTATGGACCAGATGAGCAGCAAGACAGCAGCCGAGGTGTTGAGGCAGGGTTTCCCCCAGCACTCCCCCAGCGCTTTATGGGCTTGACACACGGGAGGTGACATCGCCTCTCCTCCATTCATTTTCAATGAGACATGCGCGACAAAGCGATAATCGCAGGTCTCCCTCCCACTAAGCGAAACTCGAAAAACGTGAATGTGAAATTTTGCGCTCGTGCACATGTCATGCACAGGCGACCCAGCGACGCGATTCCAGAAAGTTGAAATATTTTCAACTTTTCATCGCTGTCGCTCGGACGAGGACCAATCAACGGAGGTTTCACTCACTGACCAATGAGCGGACAGGATGCTCCGTACATCTCCGAGCAAACATGGAGGAGAAGTTGATTATTATTATGTTTTATAGTAAAATCAGAAGTAAGATTTCACATAACTCTAGCAGCACCTTGTGAAACATCATATCTACCACATTTTTAACTCTGGACCGCTTAAATAACCTTAATTCCCTCCAACCTGACACAGCCAAACAAAACAACGTAAGTTTTGATTTCGCCACGGAACAGAACGCGTAGACGGCTTTGCCGCTGTCCGGTGCCGCGGGTCGCCTACCGTGTGACAGGTAATAAAAGCGACAGCGACGAATTTCGCTGATCGCGGTTGTTTGTCGCCTTCCGTGTGTCGAGCCCCTTATAAGCCACGACCACCTCTACCCACCACACCACCCCCAGCTGCCCCCACGTCCCAACCTCCTGCCCCCACATCATGATGTCCCACTGGTCCAGGAACCTATGAACCCAGTTATGATTTTAACAGTAACTCACATATCGGACTTGGACCCTTGCACACTTCTCACATACCTGTCATCAGCAGAGAGCGATCACATCAACATAAAACTAAATGGTAAATGGCCTGTATTTGATATAGCGCCTTCTAGAGTCATGGAACCCCCCAAGGTGCTTTACAACACAATCAGTCATTCACCCATTCACACACACATTCACACACTGGTGGGGATGAGCTACAATGTAGCTGCCCTGGGGCGCACTGACAGAGGCGAGGCTGCCGAGCACTGGCGCCACCAGTCCCTCCGACCACCACCAGCAGGCAACGTGGGTTAAGTGTCTTGCCCAAGGACACAACGACAGCGACAGACTGAGCGGGACTCGAACCTGCAACCTTCCGATTACGGGGCGAGCACTTAACTCCTGTGCCACCGTCGCCCACCGGTCTAATCTTAATAATCTTAAACAGTTGTCAAGAATCTCACCCCCAGTAAATCACACAGTCACTCCATCTTTAGCTACTAACAATATGGCTCTTTTAAATGTTCGCTCTCTGCTGAACAAAACTTTTATTATAAATGACCTAATTTTAGATAATCACCTTAAATGTGTATTTTTGACAGAAACATGGTTGAGTTCAGATGCTCCTGCTGTTCTCACAGAGCCCTCCCCACCAAACTTTAATTTTACTTATTCAATAAGAAATGGAAAAAAGGGAGGCGGAACTGCTTTTATAAGCTCATCTACACTTTCTGCAAAACCTCTTTTATTTGACAACTTCACCACTTTTGAATATAGTGCAGCCATTTTTAGCAATCTTCAGATTTTATGTGTTACTGTTTATAGGCCTCCGATGCACAGTTCACTTTTATACAGGAATTTTCCAAGCTTTTGTCAATTGTGCACAACTCTTGATAGTATTATTTTAACTGGTGATTTAAATTTACACATAGATGACCCCGCAGACCCTTTTTTCCACTGAATTTTTAAACATTTTGAGTTATATGGATTTTACAAAACATGTTGCATAACCAACCCACGACAGAGGACACACCCTGGACTTGGTCATCACGTATGGTCTGTCCACCGGTGTGTCCTCTGTCGTGGATTTAGCGATCTCAGATCATTTCAGTGTTTTTTGGCATCACCAGCATAATTCAGCAGGAGACCTCTGTCAGAACTGTAATGAAACGCCATCTAACCCCTGAAGTGGCTGCTGGTTTTCTGGAAACTTTTAAAAAGATCCCTCCTATTAAATTGAATGCCCCCTGTGATTTTATCTTCAATGATTTTAACAGTAGACATAAATCTACTCTGGATTTGCTCGCTCCACCTAAAATTAAAAAGCTACAGCCAAAACTGGCTTCCCCTTGGAGCAATGAAAACTTAAAAATGTTGAAAAGATCTTGCAGGGCGGCGGAGAGAAAACGGAGGAACTATAAGAACACGATTAATGAACAAATATGCACTGAATCATTAAAATCATACAACAAAGCTGTTAGAAATTCCAGAAATAATTACTTTTCTAAAATCATCTCTGAACACAAAAATAATCCCAAAATTCTGTTTTCCACAATTACAAATATTTTGGGTTGTGAATTTAGTTCTCCCCAGAAAACCCCCTCGTATGCTCTCTGTGAGGAGTTTGCAGCCCACTTCAGAGGGAAGGTAGACACCATCAGATGTAACATTTTATCCTCCCAATGTCATGCTGCTCCCGAACGAGTATCTCAGGTTTACAACTTTTACAAAACTCAGCAGCACGTGTCCTGATGAAGACCAGGAAGCGGGAGCACATCACTCCGGTTTTGAAATCACTGCACTGGCTCCCCGTATGTTTCAGGATCGATTTTAAGGTTCTCTTAATGGTTATTAAGAGTCTTAATGGTCTTGGGCCTTCTTATCTTTCAGAACTGCTTTTACTATATAAACCCTCAAGGTCTCTGCGCTCCTCTGGCAGCCGTCTCCTAGCTATCCCTAAAGTTAAGACACACACCCACGGCGAGGCGTCCTTCAAGTACTACGGCCCTCGCCTTTGGAACGGGCTGCCAGAGGACCTCAGGGCCGAAGAGAACGTCCAGGCTTTTAAAAATAGGCTCAAGACCCACCTTTTTAGCTTAGCTTTTAACTGATTACTATTTATCTAGTCTGTTTAACTGTATCACCTGTCATATTTGATTATTTATAAATACACCTATTTATCTCTTTTACTTAATTTTATTATTGATTATGATGATTATGTTTTCTTTTACTATCTTTATAATCACTTTTTATCAGTTACTTTCTGTCCATATTAGCTTTTGTTATTTTACAGTTATATTTTAATCCTCCAGTGTTTCCTCTGCGGAGCCCTCTGCGTTGGGGCCGGTGGCGGCGACCGGGACGCTCTCGGGTAGTGCACGGGCAGTGGTGGGGGTCTCCCCCCTCCCTCCCTGGGCGTCATGGGCCGGTGTCTTGGCTGCTGCCATGGATCTGTTGCTGTCAAGGCAGATGGCTCCGCTGATGATGTGTCGTCCATTACCTGACCCATCTGAACTCAGCCTATTGTTAACTCTGTTGTTCGTGTGTGTGTGTGTGTGTGTGGGGGGGGTACGTTCACCTTGGAAATTGGTTGCGGGAGGGGAACTGCAATTGTCAATTGTTTTATACTTGGGGAGGGGGGCTGGGATGGGAATATGGGATCTAAGGGGCCATTTAATCTGTGAAGCACTTTGAGTTGCATTTTTTTTTGTATGAAAAGTGTTATATAAATAAAGTTGATTTGATTTGATGCAGATGATAAAATGCTGATCTAGTTAAACCCTTAATGTGACCAGTGAAGCTCAGGTCTGAATCAATTATGAAACCAAGATTTCTAACCTGGCTCTTTGTCTTTATTCCCCTGAAGCAAAGCTAAGCAGTAACCTCCATCCTATCCTTCTGATACCCAAAGACAATAACTTCAGTCTTGTCTTTGTTTTACTGGAGGAAGTTTGACTGCATCCAGTCATTTACTTGCTCCAAACACTGACAGAGTGAGTCTCGAGGACCACAGTCACTAGGTGACAGACAGACAGACAGACAGACAGACAGACAGAAAGAAAGAAAATCTTTTATATAGCGCCTCTCAAGATAAAAATAACGAGGCACTTCACAACGCAAAAAATTAAAGTATAAAAAGATTTAAAAACATGATTAAGAATATGTTTAAAAGGAGAAAAGAAAAAATATGTAACTAAAGGGGGAGGGAAAACGAATAGGAAAGAGGGAAATCAGTGGATCCCGGGAAAGACGGAATAAGAGCAAAACAAGGAGAGGGTGGTGATGAAGGTCCTACCAAAGCCTGAACAGGTGAGTTTAAAGGAGACCACTGAGTCCACTGATCTCAGGCTCAGGGGGAGAGAGTTCCAGAGTCTGGGGCCACAGCAGCAGATGATCTGTCACCTTTGACCTTTAGCCTGGTGCTGCACAACCAGTAGGCTTTGATCACTGGACCTCAGGGACCTGCTGAGGGTGTAGGGACTGAGAAGATCACCAATGTAAGATGGTGCTTGTCCATGTAAGGCCCTATAGACCAGAACCAGGATCTTGAAATGAACCCTAAAGTTGACTGGCAGCCAGTGAAGCTGGAGGAGAAGCGGGGTGATGTGGGTGCTAGATCTGGGTGTCATCTGCATAACTATGATAGCTAAAGTTGTTACTGTGTATGACCTTCCCCAGGGGGAGCATGTAGAGATCGAAGAGCAGTGTCCAAGAATTGAGCCCTGGCGGACCCCACATGTCATGATGAAGACAAAATCCTGAACTAAACCTAGCCTAAAGCCAACCTAAAGGGTCTTACTCTCTAATGTGTGTATTTATACCAAGGTTGCTAACACGGAGAAAAGATGAATGTAGCAACAGAAACTTCCAGTAGCTTAAAAGCACAGAACCTGGTGTTGACTCACCTACACCAAAGAACAGGGGGCAGGTGAATATGGCAGCAGCAGGACCAGCACAGGGCACCAGCATGGGCAACATACAAGCCCTGAAGACCAGCTCCTCTGTGAACGGGGCCACCACCTGGTTCCTCAACCAGCGCATGTCACCGAGGCACAGCATCCAGAAGCTAGGGTCTTCACACAAGCACAAGACAGGAGGGGTCATTTCGCCTGATCTGTTTAATACAGAAACCCATTTTCCCAAAATGATGCCTACGCACCAGCCGTGGAGCAAAAGTCAGGGCAAGGAGTTCACATAGAACTAAATCTGCTCTAAAATCCTCCACATCTCAAAGGCCCAGACTCACCAAAAGCCACTCGAATCCCATCTATGAAGGTCCAGGGACAGTCTATGGCCAGCTGCATGAGTGGACCCAGAAACAGGACCTGCAGAACCAAAAACAATTGATCTGGGTTTCTCTGTCTGGTTCTGCTGCTCTAGTGTTCTTCAGCTGAAGAATCACCAACATAGCCTAAAGATTCCTCTCAGGATAAAGAACGTTTCCCACAAAATCGATCAAACCTGCAGCAACACATCATTTTGCTTATAAAATCACAACAAATCACATCTTTGCCTGTGTTGTTGTGTTGATCATGTTGTCAGGTCATTGCAAATAAACATCCCCACTGAGTAGCTAAAGCTAAATACTCAGTTACGTTAGTTAGCCGTGCAACACAACCCGTTTTACTGTATAAATAAAATCCTAACTCAGATCAGGCAGAAGCGAGAACTAATGTCAGATATTTTATAGCATCGCTTTTATGATCATCGTCTGCTGTTTGCACACCAACACAGCCCAGTAAAAAGTTCCCTTGTGTCACCATGACAGTTAATGTGGGGAAGTATCTAAAACCTACCGTCGTTCACAAGTTACATTTATCGCCAGTGAACATCTGGGCTACAGAGGTTCCGTTCTATGTTTTATACCTAGTTTTAAATAAGTTATAACAGTTCTAACAGGTTCATGACACCCTTTGCACTAAATCCTTCTCACATAAAACAATTTAAGCAACTTTATTCCTGACATTTTCAGTACCTTCCAGAATGCGTCGTTTCAAGGCTCTGTCACTTTAAGGAAGAGAATCTGTTGCTGGCCACACCCACACACCCCCTGATATGCTACAAAGGGGTAAGGAGCTCAGAAATGTGGGAGGGGCTTGGAGAAGGGTTACTGCTAGGACTGGGCACCATTCCAATATTTTTAAAATGTTGGTATAATTTAAAAAACGAAACAAGAAGAACCATTTATAACTAGTATGTTTCCAGAGTTGGCAAAGTGTTACCCCAAAATTCCACTACCTCCGCTCTGCCCCCGCCTTCCGCAGCCGCTCGCTTCCGAACTCAATTTTTACTGTACCCGCTCTACAACGGCCCCGCTCCGGTGCGGAGACCTGAGGTGCGCAAACAGGCATGCGTGGGATTTTCGAGATCTTGCGATACAGTCCGAGCAATAAACGCGGAAGTTAGATCCAAACACCCGTTGTGTGGGAGAAGCATCGGCATGAACTGTTTAATCTGCCCATCATTTGTGTTGAGAGATCAGCAGTGTTTGGATCAACAAAGGGCGACTACTTTGATAGTAGAAACTGTATTTATGGCTTACTTTTGTGCATTTAGAGTTCAACCGCCATTGATAGTTGTTAAAAGTTGTTAAACCTGTGCATATGAAACAAAAACTCTTTTTGTTTATCGATTTATTGTGAAATAACGGAAGTTGTGCCCGCTCCTTTTCCTGTTGGGCGGTTGTGGTTTCTGTCCATTGACTGCGGAGGTGCTCCGGCGTCCGGCAAAAATAGAATCGATCCTATTTTTGCCGGATGGCGGAACGGCGGGCGGCGCACTGCGCCGCACGGCCGCAGTAGTGGAACAGCTCTGATTGACTACAACAGGACCGGTTTTGCTGCGGAGTTCGTGCCAGAGTGGAGCGGAGCGGAATTTTGGGGTTACTAATGCTAGCTAGCTACGTCTCTAAAGCACAGACCTACCCCCAGGTCCAGGTCCAAATTCAGCCTCCAACAGTCTTCCTACGACTTCTGTTGGCAATCGACCAATGAAAATACTGCCCGGGAGTGATGCAAAAAACTACTGACGAGTGTACGATACAAGAGTAGCATTAGCAACTTTAGCATAAGTGGAGGCTACACGCATCAACCACTCCTTTTTCTATAATAAAAGAAGTGTTAACTGTGGCACTTTTTTCTCTTTTCATAGTTGTTTTGGGTATCTGTTGGCTTTTAGTAACGACTTTCAGCGAGTATGTTTGTGCGTGTCCTGCTAGAGTGACTCTCCCATCTGAACGTCTCAACAGAAATGGAGACTCATCATACCAGGCAACATTTTTCCAGTCTTCAAATGTCCAGTTTTGGTGAGCTGGTGCAAACTGTAGCCTCTTTTTCCTGTTTGTAGTGGAGATGAGTGGTACCCGGTGGGGTCTTCTGCTGTTGCAGCCCAACCGCCTCAAGGTTGTGCGTGTTGTGGCTTCACAAATGCTTTGCTGCGTTGTAACGAGTGCTTATTTCAGTCGAAGTTGCTCTTCTATCAGCTTGAATCAGTCGGCCAATTCTCCTCTGACCTCTAGCATCAACAAGGCCTTTACGCCCACAGGACTGCCGCATACTGGATGTTTTTACCTTTTCACACCATCCTTTGTAAACCGTAGAAATGGTTGTGGGTGAAAATCCCAGTAACTGAGCAGATTGTGAAATACTCAGACTGGCCCGTCTTGCACCAACAACCATGCCACTCTCAGAATAGCTTAAATCGCCTTTCTTTCCCGTTCTGACCTTCAGTTCGGGAGTTCAGGTGATGGTCTTGACCAGGACCACACCCCTAAATGCGCTGAAGCAACTGCCACGTGATTGGTTGATTAGATAATTGCATTAAGGAGAAGTTGAACAGGTGTTCCTAATAATCCTTTAGGTGAGTGCATGTTCTCACACGTCCCCTCGAACAGGAGACTTGTTTTCTAGATGAATAACGTCTGTCTTAATAATCTGCCCTAAACTTTGAATTTGGCTTTATAGTTTTCATTATTTGGGGACAGTTTGTTTAATTCTTATTCTTCACTAATTGGTACATATGTTTAATAAAAAAAGGTTAAAAGTCTTTTGTACTATGAAAACACTCGTCTCCAAATTGTGCTCACCGTTATAAAAAACAGTGTTTTCTATTTTTAGACTCAGTGTGCTGAAACCATGACATCTGAACCAAGACAGACAGATACAAAATAATGTTACGTATTCATAATGTGTTCGTAACACATTTATAACACATGTGAGGTTCGTTGTTTACCATTGTTAGGAGCAGGGGAAGAACAATCGCAGGAATCAGGCCGTCAAGTCGGATCCCCATGAGCGCCAGCAGTGAGGAGTTAGTCTGAGAGAGAAAGAGAGAGAGAGAGAAAGAGAAAGAGAGAAAGAAAGAGAGAGAGAGAGACAGAGAGAGAGAGAGAGGGAGAGAGAGAGAGAGGGAGAGAGAGAGAGAGAGAGAGAGAGAGAGAGGGAGAGAGAGAGAGCGAGAGAGAGAGAGAAAGAAAGAGAGAGAGAGAGAGAGAGAGAGAAAGAGAGAGAGAGAGAAAGAGACAGAGAGAGAGAGAGAGAGAGACAGAGAGAGACAGAGAC